CAAAAGTAATAAATTTCCACCTTCAGTGGAAAAAAGTCAGCCTTGTAAGAAAGACTATCATGTAAAACAAAAGCAACAAAGTACTAAATCTTCTTCAAACTATCAAGGAAATAAGTACAATAATCCAAAACCATGTAGAAAATGTGGAACTCTTCATAAGTTATACAACTGTCCTGCTTATAATAAGATTTGCTTGTACTGTAAAAAGAAAAATCACTTTTCTAAAATGTGCACTTATAAAAATGTTAATGTTGTACAGAATAATTTAGAGCATGAGTTACATAATAATGGTAATGAATATATTTTAGGGTCAGTAGAAGATACAAATCCATTTTCTAAAAATAAAACAGAATGGTTTGAAAAACTAAAAGTAAACATATCTAAATATTTATTTGTTAAGTTGGATACTGGAGCTCAGTGTAATGTGCTACCATTGCCTAAATTTAAACAATTACATTTAAGAGAGAAATGTTTGACTAAATCAAAAGTCACTTTAAATAATTACAATGGTACTACAATTGATGTAGTCGGAAAATGTAAATTATTATGTAAAACATCGAAAGGGGACAAGGATGAAGTAGAATTTCAAGTCATAGCATGTGATAAAACTGTTCCAGCTATTTTAGGTTTACCTACATTGCAAAAATTAAACCTAATTCAAAGGATTTGTACAGTAAATCCTGATTCCAATGAAAAGTTGCCAGAATCTTTAAAAGGATATCAAGATTTCTTTAAAGGAACTGGGAATTTAACTGGATATACATATCATATTAAATTAAAACCAGGAGCTGTTGGTAAAATAGAGCCCTGTAGGAAAATTCCACTTAGCTTATTAAATCCATTAAAAAAGGAATTAGCAAGAATGGTAAAAGATGGTAATATAAAGAAAGGTAAACAACCAACAGAATTCGTGAATTCATTCGTGGTAGTAAGGAAAAAGGATGGTAATTTAAGAGTGTGTTTAGATCCTCAGCACCTTAACCAAAATATACTGAGAGAACATTATCACATACCAACCTTTGAAGAAATTTCATCTCAAATGACAAATGCAAAGGTATTTAGTATTTTAGATGCAAACAAAGCATTTTGGCAAATTAAACTGTCAGATTCCAAGCTAGTGAATTTACTACATTTAACACTCCGTTTGGTAGATATTGTTTTTTTGAGGTTGCCATATGGACTAAGCTCATCACCAGAAGTTTTCCATAGAAGTTTTTCTGAAATTCTTTAGTGATTTAGAAAGGAGTTCAAATATATATAGATGACTTATTAGTTTGGGGTAAAGGATAAAAAAGAACATGATTTAAGATTAAAGAACGTTGTTGGACAAGAGCCAGAGAAAATAATGTTAAATTTAATTTAAATAAATGTAAATTTGGGCTGAATGAAGTGAAATATATAAGGTACATATATTTTCTAAAGATGGTTTAAAACCAGATGAAGACAAAATTAAGGCTATTCTAGATATAAAACCACCAAAAAAATGTGAAAGAATTAGAAAATTTCCTAGGATATGATTACATATGTTTCTAGATTTATACCTAATGTATCAGAATTGACATCATGTCTAAGAGATTTGTTGAAAAAACAAGTTATCTGGAACTGGAATGCAACACATGAAAAAGCATTTAGAAGACTAAAAGATATCTTAGTAAATAAACCAGTTTTACAGTACAGTGAAAAGTCTTTAATCCGGACTCGTCAGGACTTCGGCGATTCCGGATTATCGATTTTTCCGGATTATAGATCATCAGTTTAAATCTGGTAAGATGGCATGCAGAAATTATAAAATTAAAAATCTGAAACTGTAATTTATAAAATAATAAGCAATTATGATCTAAAGGGTATCAAAATTTACAAAAAAAGAAGCTTAATATTTATTTGTTTACTTTATTAAACATTTCTTTCAACGCGCGCATGCGTAAAGCATACCTTACGCATAACCGAAATTAGAAAATTGCAACCAAAAAACTATTTGATTTGTATTCGTGATATTTATAATGACGAGGAATTTGATTTAAATCACATCAAAGATGGAGTACATCGACATGAAATACTACATTTAGTAAGGAATTATAAGCCGAATAAAATAAAAACATCTGCCCTGAAGATAACGATAGTGCTGACAGATCAACTTCCAGTTCATTGCGCGCTGCGACGTCGTCCCCCCCTTCCCCGCTCAGAGCAGCGTGAAATTGATAAACAGATTTTGGAACGGTTAGATAAACAAAGGATATGCCTTTATCCATTTTTTGTAGCAATTTGTTTTTTGTTTGATGGACATCGAAACATACTTTCGTTTTCTAGATCCTTTGGGAGCTCCAGTATCGGAAATTCTATTTGACATAATCGAAATTTCAAGCTTACTTTTATAAAATTGCTCTTACAGTCTGCAAAAAATAATAAGCCGGATCCAATTCGAAGATTAAGGAACAACGCAATCATCAACATTAACTGAAATAGATAATTAGATAATTTTAGCTTATACCGTCTGTTATACATTAAACGTGCATGCAAAAATGTATTCTGTGCTTGCGCAGATGCATATGCGCGGTCGTAAATGTCTTATGCGCATGCGTAAAACGCCTATGCGCATGCGTCAACGCGGTGCATGCGTAGAAAGATTTTAGCTTTGAGATCCGGATTATGGGTGTCTGAATTAACGACTTTTGACTGTATTATGATATAAACATGCCAGTAGTTTTATCTGTAGATGCATCTCAAGAAGGACTAGGAGCAGTCTTACTTCAGAATAATTTACCAGTAGCATATGCATCTAAGGCATTAACAGATACACAGAAGAATTATGCTCAAATTGAAAAGGAAACTTTAGCTATTGTCTTTGTGTGCGAGAAATTTCACCAGTATATATTTGGAAAATATATTACTGTGGAAAGTGACCATAAACCACTAGAATCAATTTTCAAAAGCCTTTAAATAAATGCCCTGTAAGATTACAAAGAATGCGTATAAGATTACAGCCATATCAGTTTGAGATAAAATATAAACCAGGAAAAGAACTTTTTACAGCGGATGCATTATCAAGATCATTCACTGATAAAGGATCTGATTTCTTTGAAGGAGACATAGAAGCTCATGTTGGATTAGTTGTGGAATGTATACCAATGTCTAATGGTAAAATGGAAGTTTTTCAACTGGAAACAGAAAAAGATGAATAACTACAAGTTTTAAGAAAATTAATTAAAACTGGATGGCCAGATGAAAAATGTATGGTTCCAGAACTGGCAAAACCATATTTTAACTTCAGAGAAGAACTATCAGAAGCAAATGGATTAATATTTAAAAATTCCTGTGTTGTTGTACCAAGAAGTTTATGAAAAGATATGTTAAGCAGAATTCATTATGGTCATTTAGGAGTAGTAAAATGCAAGATCAAAGCAAGAGAAATATTATATTGGCCAGGAATGTCGAAAGAAATTGAAGATTTGGTACTGAATTGTCAAACATGTTTAGGTTTACAAAAAGCAAATACCAAAGAACCAATGATATCTAAAGAAATACCTAATGGTCCATGGGAAGTATTGGGAACAGATCTCTTTTACTTTCAAGCAAGGGATTATTTAATAGTAATAGATTATTTTAGCAAATATGTTGAAATTGGACATTTGGAAGATTTGTCAAGTGTAGCAGTGATAAAGCAATTGAAATCAATTTTTGCAAGACATGGTATAGTATATTCGGATAATGGTCCACAATATAATTGCAGAAAATTTAAAGATTTTGCAAGAAGATGGAATTTTGAAACCAGAACTTCAAGTCCAAATTACCCACAATCTAATGGAATGGTTGAAAGACATATTCAAACTGTCAAGCGAATGTTAGAAAAAGCTGTAGTCAACAACAAGGATCCATATTTAGTATTACTGGAATATCGTAACTCTCCTATTTCAGATGAAATTAAGTCACCATCAGAATTGATGTTTGGAAGAAAAGTAAATGGATTGATGCCTATAAAAGAGAATTTTGTCCAAGCTAAACGATATGAAGACCATAAACAACACTTACTGAGAGACAAACCTTACAAAAAAAATTATTATGATAGGAATGCAAGACCATTAAAACCACTGAAAACAGGAGATCATGTTTACATAAAAGAGAAAGGGAAAAAATTAAATGAAAGAGGGAAATTTATAGAAGAAGCAGAAAGACCACGTTCATATAGGATTATAAGAACAGATGGAAGAATTGTAGAAAGGAACAGAAGAGACCTTCTTAAAGGAACTAATCAGGAAGAGTTTGCAATACAAAACAACTATGAGAATGAAGTTATAGATGAACCCGAGATACATGAAAATAGTAGGAGCACTACAAATTTAGATGTGCCTGTAAGTCCTTCAAAACCTAACAGAAGTCTTGTGTCACCAAATAGTTAAAGAGGTATAGTATCATCAAATTTTTCAAATGGACATAACTACCTTACTCGATCTGGTAGGACTGTTAAGAAACCTTATTATTTAAAAGAATATGTTTAATTTTACTACTATTATTATTTTTTATAAAAAAGGGAGATGTTATATATGTAACTGTAACTGTATCTACTATCTTTAATCATAACTTTAATATAGAATAGTGAATGAGCAATGTAGAATAAACTATGTTTGTGTACATCTTGTAATTCATCACTGAGCACATACCCAACATATATAAAATACAACACAGTAATGTTACCCACATCCGTGATTATCCTTAAGTCACACGTGCCCCCTGAGTGGTGCTAAATGGGTAACTGCCACAAAGTCCTGTGGCATACCGGTTTTTGTGGGATGAGGTTCGGTCTGATGATGAATAATCGTATGACGACCCGACAGATGGCTCCTCCCTGGGAAAACCGGCGATTGTGTGGAGGATTTGAAATTCCAAGGACCTCTGATCTGGAGAGGAGGGGTCTTGGAGGAAGCAACCATGTAGAGGATACAGGAGAAAAACTAAGTTTTGCGTCTCAGGCCGCCAGATAGTACAGGAGCCCGGGGCAGACTAACCAGCATGTCCTAGCTGCTCTATCAGCTGGTGTCAAATCTCGCATGCCTTGTAGTTCCAGGTGGTACCTGGGTGGGGTCCTGCATGGCAGAGCAGGGGGGCTCTTCCGAGGTCACTGCTGGCTACTGAATCCGGGGCTAGCCCCCCCCCCAAACTTGCTCTTAGAAAATCGGAAGGAATTTTTCTCCCCCTTCTTTCAATCAAATACTAAAATGGATGTTAGCAATATAGAATCAGATAAAAATGCATCCTCTCAAACCCCCACTTTAACCACTGTAACTCCTTCTAAGGGAGTGAATGCGCCCTTGGATGCGGACGCTCTTCTCTTTAGGACTACAGAAACCAGAGCCGCTGATGAAGGAAGAAATGTGCGTTTGGACACGGACGCCCTGAACCTAGTGGGGATGGATACTGACTCCTCTGTCAGAAGTGCTGTGCCAGATGCGGAAGCGGATGACCAGTCACCAATGACGGAGGTTGTAAATAAAAGAAAAGAAAAGAGACAATGCCAAAAGGAGCGGAAATGGCTGGAGAGGGCAATGGAAGGGATCTCGATCTCCGGGGAGAAGGGAACGAGGGAGAAAACAGATAAAGCTGGGGCTTCTGCAGCAACCTCCAAACTGGTGAGGGAGAGCCATCCAAGCAATGAAGATTCTCGTAAGAGAGATCGCATTGCTGGTGACACAACAGAAATGACCCTCCAGAAACGAGGGCTTTATAGTCGAGCTGTGAGGAAGGCAATTACTCTGCGGGTCGTCTGCAAGGATGACTCGAGAGACATAACGTCGGCGGATTCGGACTTCATCACTTCTACGATTGATGACCGAATTATCGAAGGCTCCATCACCAGTAGCAATCATGAAAGTGCAAGTTGGCAAAAAAAGCTGAACAACGCGTGGACACAAAATTACACAAAAACTAACTGCGCACGCATGACCTCAAGAAAACACATTTTACTAAAATATCAACTTTTTAATATAAAAAGTATTAAACATATACATATAATTTAACTAAAATAACACTTGTACTTACTATTTTGCTATTAATTTTATCTTCCACTTAAAAAAAAAAAAAACCAATAAATCACCAAGAGATTGTAATGAATTAACCTTCTTTAAGATGCTCTTTATGTAACTTAATTTAACAGTTGATACATGAATACTGTACACAACATTACAACACACTAATATACATATTTATGTTATATATTACTGCCCATTTTCAGGCAATGACAAGTTTTAGAGATAATATATATATAACTGTTACTATAGCTCTCAATTATCTTCACTTTTAGCTCAACTTTATATAACACCAGAAAAAGTAGTCATATGAGATAATATAGTTACAAAATAACATATAGTTGAAGGAGGAATACAAAAAATAGCTATTTTGTCTCAGCCTCACTCGATCCTGATTAAAAATTTTTAGGGAAAAAGCTTTTTCTTTTTTGCTACTTTTGCAGCCAAAAACTTTTGCAGCTACTTTGCCCGGGTGACGTTCAAAAAAGTGGAATTCCGCGAAAACGCAGAAAAATTTCATGCCTGCTGTAGGGTCCACAATACAGTCCTGCAGCCGAATGGCCTTAACATTGCATGCAAGGACCAGGAGACTGTGGACGTCCTAAAGATTTTAATCAATGATCTACCTGGCCCTGAAGAAAACCATCCCGGTTATCACGCCATGGCTCCCAGGGACAGACCCCCCCCCCATGAAGAGGTTTTTCGCTTGGTTTTCTGGTAACAGGTCACCAAAAGATAACATCAAGCTCTTGATGCCTGTAACAAGGGCCTGGATGTTAAGAAGATCGTTATCCAGGCAGTCATCCCTGGAGATGGAGGTAACAGTGCTGGGAGTGGAACCTGAGCTCATGGATTACCTGGAGGCCAAGAATTTCAAACTTCTTTGTGGTGCCCGTGGCTCTGTACAACTGAAGGAACCAAGACAACAGGAGAAATCAATTCCTCTGCCCAAGGATCCTTCGAGGAAACAGTTGATCGAAGAAGGGGAGACCGAAAAGGAGTCGGAACCACAGCTTTCTTTGGAGACTCTGGGGAAGACCTTTGAATAGTGTTTCCCCCGTCACGACTTCCCTTGAAGTCGTGGGTTAAGGATGTGGCTTTTAATTAAGTCTCTCCTAAAAGCCTTCAGGGTAAGTTCTTATCTCTCATTTAACCTGTTTTAATGGTTAAGGTTAGTCAGCTAAACCTGCAACATAGCAGAGCAGTAGGTAAGCAAGGCGCTTTTGTTGCCTTAGAACCTTGGGTCTACATGAGTAAAATCCTTGGTAGGACCACGCACACTTCTTTTCGTCAGAAGGACCTAATAAAAGACCTAGAACTAGCATTTACATTTCTAAAAATATAAAGGCTATGAAACCATCTCAATTTACATCAGAGGACTTAACTGCTATTTTAACCAAGGACATAAACAGTTCACTGAGAGGAAACATTTGGTTTTGCTCGGTTTACATGGCTTATGACCTTAACATTCCGCAAGAATTTATAGATCTTGTGAGTTTCTGTGAAATAAACAATATTCCTATGGTTATTGGTGGTGATGTTAACGCTCACCACCTATCATGGGGGCAGTTCTGATACCAATCCTAGAGGAGAAAAACTCATGGAGCTTATAATGAATACCAACCTAACTTGGGTAAACAGGGGAAATCGCCCTACCTTTGTCAACAGAAGAAGAGAAGAAGTCATTGACCTCACATTAACTTCTGATATTTATAACCTTATTGAGAATTGGCATGTAAGTGACAATCCCTCACTTTCATACCGTCGCCTTATATAATTTTGCAGTAGAGATGAAATTCTAGCTGAATATTTCAGAAACATTAAAAAAACAAATTGGGACATTTATAAGGACTTCCTGGTTTCTAATATCATTAACCTTCAGGTTTTAGACAATAATTGTTCAGTCGAGGAGCTTGATACTCAAGCAAACAACCTGACAAATATCATTATTGAATCTTATGCACCATGCCCTCTCAAATGAAGGAAGTACTCTTTATCAAGAGAGTCTGGTGGACCAAGGAGCTTGAAAGCCTCCGCCTAGAGGTTCGGAGAGCTCACAGGAAAGCAGTCAGAAATGAATCTGAAGTTAACTGGTCTAACTTCAAAATTCTACAAAGGAAATTTAAAAAGTGAAATCAAAGTGAAATCAGGAAAACTAAATACAACTCATGGAGATCCTTCTGCACAGATATTCTGTCCTACCATGAGACTGCCAGAGTACATAAGATTCTTAAGAGATCTCAGGAGTCTCAACTCTCATCGGTTATGCGACCAGATGGCAGTTATACTATAAACCCTTTGGATACACTTTCGACCATGTTGAATTTTCATCTGGGGGACACAAGTGTCACCTCTGACCCCCAGGAAAATCCATTGGAACTACTTCATAATCCATTAGATTTGGATTTTGCTAAGACAATAGTGAACTTTGAAAAGGCTAAAGCGGCCCTAGATGTATTTCTTTCCTTTAAATCTCCAGGGAACGATGGCATTTACCCAATTCTGCTTCAGAAAGGCTGGGATATTTTTGGCCACATTCTCGTGGACTTATTCGAATCCAGTTTGGTTTTAGGATATGTTCCTAAGGTGTGGAGAACTTCACGAGGTGTGTTTCTTCCCCAAACCAGGAAAAGATACATATGAGAAACCAAACTCATTTAGAATGATTACGCTAACATCCTTCCAGCTCAAGCTGTTGGAGCGATTGATTTTTCTGGCAACTCCAGTCAGATAATAATCTGAACCATACTTTTGGCTTAGACCAACACGGTTTTAGGCCTGGCTTCTCCACTGAGTCGGCCCTACACCAACTGGTGTGAAGAATAGAAAAAACAATTATAGACGGACACTTTGCCATTGGGATTCTACTGGATATTGTAGGAGCCTTTGATAACATCTGTTTCGAGAAAATACATAAGGCCCTTATTGGAAGTCATATTCACCCTATGATAACTAGATGGGTCATCTTTATGATTAAAAACAGGTATATCTGCGTTAGTCTCACTGACTGTGAAGTAAAGAGAGATATTACTAAAGGGTGTCTACAGGGTGGTATTCTTTCTCCTTTCCTGTGGAACCTGGTATTCGACTCACTCTTAAGTACTTCTACGTGAGGAACCTTGCATGTCACAGACTTATGCAGATGACCTTATTGTGTTACTACAGGGTTTCGATATTGGAACCCTACACAATCAAGCTCAGCAAATCTTGAATAAAGTATCACACTGGGGTGAAACAAATGGCCTATCTTTCTCTGCTGAAAAATCAGAGGTCATAGTTTTCACGTGGAAAAGGAAATGGAAACTGGCAGATTTATATCTGGGTAACCAGATTATCAGACATAAGGAATGCGTTAAATACCTAGGATGTTACCTGGACAGTAAACTCACATGGATCACCCATATAAAAGAAAAGGCACAAACAGCCACAAATGTACTAGTACTTTGCAGGCGAATCGTTGGTAAACAATGGGGCCTTAACCCAAAATCTACTCTATGGATTTATACTGCCATAGTCCGGCCAATGCTTTCTTACGGATGCGTGGTCTGGATCAATGTTATTAACAAAAGCACATATTTAAACATTTTACAAAAGGTGCAAAGACTTGCTTGCCTATGCATTAGTGGGGCTTTAAACAGTACCCCTACTGCTGCATTAGAATTTTTATTGCAAATTCCACCCTTGAAATTATTCTTGAGCGGAGAAGCAATTAAAGCCATGTATAGGTTGAATAAAAATGGCACATGGTGCCAAAGGACAGGTTTCGGTCATAAAAGCCACATTGACATATGCCTGGACTTGGGCAATGAGATCCCTATAATCTATATGCCCAAAGATGCAATTACTAAAACAATAGTTCCAGATAAACTATTCTCAACTTATATACCAAAAAGGAATGAGATAGAATCTCTAATTGACCTAATTCCAACAGGATCAATTGAATGTTACACAGATGGATCAAAATCCAACTTCACCGGAGCTGGAGCTATTATAAGAACCAAGGGATCTGGAGAAGATTTCATTAGAT